TATCTGCATATATATGTATCTGCATATATATGTACCTGCATTTGTGTACACTGTATATATATTCACATATATATGTAATAACACACATGGAAGGATAGTTATTGAAGCTTCTTAGATATATCTAAATAACTCATGGAATTGCTTTATTGGGTCAAAAAACTTGGGACTTAGTCTCAGAGAACTTAGTTAATTAGCAGAATACAAATACAATTCACAAAGAATATTCTATATCCTAGTTTCGTGAGTAGTATCTTCAATCATAAAAGCTAGCAAGTGACTAAGTCACAACTATAAGTTACTTCTTGTGTGAGTCAAAAGAGGATGAAGGAAATCAAGGGCTCAAAGAAGGTATTCTTCACAGTGCTAGTAATCCACATGAGCGTCTTCTGAGAACTGAAGAACCAGGTGCTGAAGAACCCAGTTGTCGCTGCCAACCTTTCTGATCAAGGACACAACAGGTCGTAGATAGAATGGGAGAAAATGTAGAACAAGACTCAAATATATAAAAAAAAAAGTCAGACCTGTTTGATCAATAGAGACTAGAGGATCCCTCGAGTCTCTCACCATAAGATATAATTTGAACTTGAAATTTAAGATATTTCTGTAAGTCACCTTTCAGCTGGGTAATAAAAGAAACAATGTTATCTGTAAATAATACACTTCTTTAAACAGTAAACTACATGACATCAAGCTGTCAACATTTGTCCAACAGCAAAGATGAAGAGATAAGAAAGAGAAGGGATATAGATCAGTGGAAACAGAACAAGCAGAATAGAAATAATGATAATGCTAAATTACTGTAAAAATTGCAAACAATGCCATAGAACAATTTGAATAAAATTTGTTAAAGGAAGCCCAATTTGTTGTGTAAACTTTCACTTAAAACACAATGAAATATTTTTTAAAGCCAATTTAAAAAAATGGAGATCATAAACATGTGATTGGACAGTAGAGAAAGGCAATGCTTTTTATGCATAGTAAAGAACTTGTCTGAATTATATTAAAATGTTTGGTGGAAGGTAAAATGTCTAAGTGATGAATTTGGATGTCTTGCCGGGATAAATCTTCTAAGGAAGATTTATAAAGAAGCCCACTTGGTTTCTTACCACTTAGTAGTAAGAATAGGAGAGGCAAGAGATAGACTTAAACATGAACTCTACAAAAGGAGAACAAACCATAAAGATCTGAAAACTTATGTTGTTCAAGATAAGGGCATGTATTTTAGAATGTTCACCAAAGACATGGTTACGCAATCTTCTGTTAAAGAGATTAAGCCTGTGAGTGATGGACCTAAACAATTACTGAAACAGAAAAACCATAAAGTTAGACTGAAGGGGACAAAGGAAGAGCAAATATAAAGAACTCTTCGAATCCTGCAGGAAACAGCTCTCTTAGTAAAGAAAAGGACTATTCCTTATAGCAGTGCTGCCCAGCTTGCAAAAAGTAGGGCCTCAGTCTTCTGGGTTTCAAAGACTTAGGCCATGGCCTCCTAGGCTTCAAAGAAACATAGGTTCACTAGGTTGGTTCTTCTGGAGTGTGAGGCTGCAGGTCATGAGTGCCATGGAATGGGGCCAAACTGCACCAATCAGGACACCACCAGTCATGATACCTAGAGAACATGTTCAAGTTGACCAGAATTTCATTTTATGTAAATCCACAGTCAGTGGTCATGGAAGCAGCAGTCAAGAAATAAAATTATATATGTTGTTGTTATGTAGTATGGAATTGGCTGTAACTCATAGGTATCCTATGTACAATAGCTCTGAGCCCTGCTCTATCCTGAACCAGTGTCACTACTCTGACACATCTATCTCCATTCCCCCAGTTACTAAATTAATCCGTCTCCTCCAGGGTCTTCCTCTCCTGCGCTGTCCCTCAATCCTTCCAAGCATGATGTCCTTCTCCAAGGATTGGTCCCTCCTGGCTACATGCCTACAGTACATGAAATGGAGCTTCAGCATTCTTATAATAGGGGAATCTGTTACCAAAAAACTTCCTTAAAAAGTTAGAAAGCCTCCCATGTTTATCGCAGCTTTGTTCACAATAGCAAAGAGTTGGAAACAACCTAAGTGCCCTTCAACAAAAGAATGGATAGAGAAGCTGTGATATATTCACACAATGAAATACTACGCTGCATTGAAAAACAAGGAACTCATGCAATATTATTTAAAATGGTGACCCTGGAGAACATTATGCTGAGTAAACTATCTTGCATTTGTAGGAATTATTATGAGTGGTTTTTTTTTTACTAGAGAGAAAGATGAATGTCACAAAAGGATAAATACTGCATAATGCCAGTGTTGTAAAATGGGACTGACATCGGGGTTTGGGGGGAGACTGAGAAAGATGGGATAAATTAAGTATACTGCATTGAAACAGATGAGGGAGGAAATTGTATAACAGGGATATATGATTAGGTATTGTCATGATAATGGATAGTGGAGTGGACTTTGGAGGATGGATTATATAAAAATGAAAACCTTTTTCTTTTACTTTGCAAAGAGAAGAGTGAACTGGGGGATGGGGTGGGAGGAGTGGACAGGGAGAAAAGTGCCACAATGAATGAATGGAAATCCAAAGTCTCTGTAAACTTTCTTTAAAATGAATACTAAAAAAGGGGGGGAGTGAAAAAAAAAGTTAAAAAGTAAAGGAGACATGTTGAGAACTAAGGCACACCTAGTCCAAACCATAACATTTTAATGACCTTGTAGGTATGTAAAAACCGAGCCATGAATAAAGAAGATTGAAAAAGATTTGTTTGTTCTTCTTGAAGTTTATGGTATATACAGTATTTTTTAGCCAACACCATAAATCAAAGTCATCAAGTTTTCTTCAGTATTCTTCTTTATTTGTTGTTCCATTTTCACATGGAGATTTCAGTGGCTGATTTTACGGGAGATTGTTAGGCTTTTCTTCTGAGTTGCCTCTGGTTGGACTTGAATCTCCAAACTTTCAGTTGGCAGCCATGTGCATTAACTGCTTGCCCCATCCAAGGACTCGCCTAAAACTAGATTAAGGACATTCATCTTTCTCTCTAGTAAAAAAAAACCACTCATAATAATTCCTACAAATGCAAGTTTTTGTGAGTATATAAACACGTAAAGCCTTTAAATCTCTTGTCTCTTTCTCTCTCACACACACACATCACAGAGAGACAGACACACACACTCACACTCACATTTTTTAAAAAAAATTATTGTTGTTAGTGTTATGTGCCATAGAGTCAACTACAACTCATATCAACACCCTTGGCACCAGCAATCAGGAAGTCAAAGACAAATTGCATTGGGAAAATCTGTTGTCCAGGACCTCTCCAGGGTGTTAAAGAGCAGCAATGTCAGTCTGAAGACTAAAGTGTGCCTGATGCAAGCCATGGTTGTTGTTTTTATTAATTGCTTGTTATACATCTGAAGGCTGGACACTGACTAAGGATGACAGAAAAATTGATACCTTTGTGTTGTGGTGCTAGAGAAGAGTAATGAATATATCATGGATTCCAAAGAGAACAATCAAGTCTGCCCTAAAGAAAATGAAACCAGAGTGCTTCTTGGAGGCAAAGAGGGTAAAACTTTGTCTCACATACTTTCAACATTGTTGTCAGGGGGGACTAGTTCTTGGAGAAGGACATTATGCTTATAAAGGTGGAGAGTCAGTACAAGAGAGGAAGGCGCTGGATGAGATGGATTGACACAGTGACTGTAGCATGGGGTCAAGTGTGTTGGAGATGATGAGATTTGCTCAGGATAGGGCAAGGTTCAGAGTCATTGTTCACTGGTAACTATGATTTATACTTTGACTATTGAGGACCTGTTATCTGATTGTCATTGGTCCCATTGCTTCATTTCTGTTACTTTGGGTTTGGGTGGCTACTGACTGTTTTTATAACTTTTGAAGGAAGCTACTAATTGTAAAGAGAAATGCCAGCTTCTAAGACAGCTGGTGTGGGAGTTTGTGAACAGAAAGTTAGATTCATTTATCACCTTGGGCTTTCAGATAGAAGCAAGGAGGATCAGACAAAAAGCTGATTCTCTCTCCAGCGACATGACCCGGCAGATGGATGAGTTCAAGCGTGTGCAGAGAAACATGGGAAACTGGGAAGAAGAAATTCAGTTGCTGTTACAGAACGGGAAGAGTGGGAGACAGGTATTCTTTTGTTAGTTTGTTCACTCAGCAAACATCCTGAATGCCTATCATATGAATAAATATAGTCAAGAGGAACCTTCACACACTCTGCTTAGAGAGGGGAGTACAAGGGACACAGAAACCTTGATGTCATTGGTTCAGCTCCACCCAATGAATCAACCCTCAAACCTGGGACTTGGACCCAAGCCTCCTAGAACCTATTTTGGGCAGATTTCTGGCTACTATTTCTGCTCCAGGAAGTACGCAGAGCTTAAAATAATGTTTTACAAACATATTCATGTCCCTGACAATGGACTAGAGTGTGACCTTCTTTCTATCTGGGCTGTGTGATTGGGTTCAATTTTTATTTTGTTGCACATTATTAAGTGGTTTGCTACAGCACTTCTCAAGTCTACAGAGAATCACAACACCCTGTTATCAGAAAGAGACATGTGTTGGGGTGGTTTTGTGAGAAGGAATACACACACTTCTCAGTGAAGGTTACACTGACTTTAATCTTGTTCTGTCTGCCTGTTTACAGAAGTCAGAGCAGCTGCTCTCCCGTGCCAACCTTGCTAAAAGCAGAGCTGAAGAAGCACTGAGCATGGGCAATGCCACTTTCTATGAAGTTGAAAACATCTTGAAGAACCTCAGAGGTGAATATTTTCATGGTTCAGCTCACTCAATCATCTCAGATGTACAACTAGGTCTTTGATTAATTTGGAATCCTCGTGTACCTCCCTAGTTGGAAGGGCCATTGGAGTATTATTACTAGATGTGTAGTAAATGTGCTTCTGAAGAAAAAACACTCATTACTGTTTGATATAATGGAAAGGTGATTGAACACGAAGTCAGAAGGCCTGGGTCTGAACCCTATGGTGTCTATCTGCATAATTATAGCAAGTCACCTAGACTTCTTGGATCCTTCTTTCTAACTTTTCAAAAGGGAAATGAACTACATTATCTCAAAGGTCCCTTTCAGACCCAACATATCACAAAAGTACTGATGCTTTGTTTTTGTAGCCTGATTGTTTCTAATATGGAAATGGAGAATTAAAATACTGTCATAGTGTATCACGCCGAGTTTGCTCATGTCAGATTATTAAAGAGTTTGCTGCAGCAATTTGGCTGCTTTGTGTGATGATAGAGTAAGTTTTGTCACAGTATCTAGGTTCCAAGAGGTATTATTTCGTGCCATGCAGTGATAGGGTTAAAGTTTCAGGCTTCTTCATTCACTGAAGAATAAAAGAAAGGTATTCCTAAACTAGAGAGCTCTGGTGAGCTCGTGGGAAGGAGCTGTGCTGCCATCCCAAAGGCGTATGATTCGAATCCTCCAGCCGCTGCATGGGAGAAACGAGCCAGTCTCCTTCCCTGTGATTTGCCACCCCTGAAAACCCACAGGAGGGTCAGCTGTGCATCAGTTCTGACTCAAGGACCCATAACAACAACAGCAACAGTATTTGTGAACTCAGGAGATCTTCTTTTTCCCCATAAAAAGCACTTCTCTATTGGTCCTCAACTATTGTCATGATTAATTTAGAGCTTAATATTTGGGCTTGAAAGTTTGGGTTTGAAAGATCCTACCCATTTTTAATGTCTTCTGAGGCCTTGACTATTGCAGTGTTGGGGACCCAGGGCAATGCCATACTTATTTTCTCTAAGCAAGGACTATTGTCCTTTGAATGCCTCCTTTAAGGTGTTTGGGCTTTTTTTTTTTCTGGATGAATGGAAAGCCAATTTGCTCTGTAAATTTTCAGTATAATTACAATAAAAAGTTTAAAACCAAAAAGTTGTTTTAGCCTGGACAGGAAAGACTAATTCTAGCTCTAATTTTCTCTATTCCCCCAGGCCCTGGAAGGCGATCACACACACTCACTTAGCCCCTTTCAAATCAAAGCTATTTTTTAATGTGCCGGATGATATTTTTTTCCTTTCAGAGTTTGACATGCAGGTTGGAGACAGAAAAGCAGAAGCTGAAGAGGCCATGAAGAGACTCTCCTACATCAGTCAGAAGGTTGTGGATGCCAGTGACAAGACGGAGCAAGCAGAAGTGGCCCTGGGCGGAGCGGCTGCTGATGCCCAGCGGGCAAAGAGCGAGGCTCGTGAGGCCCTGGGGATCACTGACGAGATAGAACAGGTACAGCTGTGGACTGGCAGGCCTCACCACACAAGGGTGGTATGGACAAAAAGGAAACATGAGGCCTGTTTTGAACACTGTTGTTCAGAGTCTTGTTATGGTCCAATTGTTGCTATGTGCAGTTGAGTCAGAACCACTTTATGACCTTCCAAAGGGTTTTCAGAGGCTATAAATCACATGGAACGAGACTGTCCATTTTTTTTTCCATGGAGAAGCTGGTAGACTTGAACCACCTGCCTTTGGGTTGGCAGTACAACTCATTACTCTCTAGGCCACCAGCATAGCGCCCAATTTACTGACTGGTTTTCTGCTGATTTTGAAAGTGGTGACTGACTGCAACTAGAACCTGACCTTTCCAGCTCCCCTTGTTGAAAATCATAACAAACAGCATTGTAAGAGGAACTATTTAAAAATCCTTTTCATATAGAATATATCTAACTATCTATAGTAAAACGATGGTTTGATTCCAGTTTAAGAAATTCTGGAGTTCTGGATCCCCTATTCTTGTGTTTGTCCTTGTCTTAATTCTGCTTATTCATGTTTCTGTTTCCTGATCATATATGCCATTCCCATGTTTGGTGTTGACGATCTGGAGAGAGACCTCCTCCCTGACCTCAAAAAATACAGCGTTGTTGTGAACACTGCTGTAGAAAGAGTGCTTGCCGACGGAACGAGAGCTGCTTAGCTCTTCATTAAGCTTGAATTCTGGAAAATCTATGTAGTTTTAGAGAAAAGTTCTAGTGGGTGTTTGTGATATCTGGATTGTTAGGCCTAATTCATCCACCACTGATTACTTGCAAAAATGATTGAAAAATGTTTACAATCAATTTCTTTTCCTCTTAATCTGTTCTGCTTAAAATACAGAATATTATGTTTAAATAAATACTCACTGCTGTTGAATGGAACCAATTTATAGCTGACTCTCCAGACTGAACAAATTATGTGAGAAGCTGAATTTTATGAAGAATAATGTGGCATCAAGATAAAAGGAAGACTTAGTAACAACCTATGTTATGCAAATGACGCAACCTTGCTTGTTGAAACAAGGAAGACTTGAAATGCTTGCTGAAGAAGATCAAAACTACAGCCTTCAGTAGGGATTACATCTCAACACCAAGAAAACAAAGATCCTTATCACTGAACCAATAGGTAACATCATGATAGATGGAAAAAAAGATTGAAGTTGTCAACAATTTATCTTTCTTGGATCCACAATAAACACCCTTGATACCACCAGTCAGGAGATCAGGAGATGTATAATATTGAGAACATCTTCTGTCAGGGGCCTCTCCAAAGTTCTGAAAGGAATGATGTCAGTGACTAAGGAATGATGTCAGAAAGACTAAGGTGCACCTAATTCAAGACATGAGTTTTCCAATCACCTCCTGTGCATCTGAGAGCTGGACATTGAATAAGGTTAACAAAATAAATTGATGCACTTGAGTTGAAGTGTTGGAGAGGACTGCTGAATATCCCATGGACTGCCAAAAGAACAAACATGTCTTAGAGAAAGTACAACCAGAGTGCTTCTTATAAGCAAGGATGATGACGCTTCTTTTCACATACTTTGGATATGTTGTTGTTGATTTTATGTGCCGTCGAGTCACTTGTGACTCATAGAGACCCTATGTACAACCCTACACCCTGCTCTAGCCTGTGTCAATCTCACTGTCTCTGACACACCCAAGCTGATACCTCAGTCACTAAATCAATCCACCTCATAGAAGGTCTTACCCTTCTGCATTGTCCCTCCACCCTCCCAAGCATGATGTTCCTCTCCAACGATTGGTCCCTCCTTGCAAAATGTCCAAAGTATGTCAGACAAAGCCTCAGAATCCTTGCCTCCAAAGAGAAGACTGGTATAACCCTCTCCAGGATGAACCTGTTTGTTTTCTTAGCAGTCCATGGTACATTCAATATTCTTCTCCAGTACCACAGGTCAAAGGCATCAATTCTCTTTCTATCCTCCCTATTCATTGTCCAACTCTCTAAAGCATAACAAGTGATTGCAAAGACCATGGCCTGTATCAGGTGCACCTTAGTCTCCAGAGTGACACCATTGCTCTTCAGTACTTTGGAGAGGTCCCTAACAGCAGACTTTCCCATCACAAATATGCCTTTTAATTTCCTGGCTGCTGTTGCCAAGAGTGTTGACTGTGGATCCAAGCAAACTAAAGCTGTGAACAATCTCAATCTCTTCATCATCCATCCTGATGCTGCCAATTGGCCCAGTGGTGAGAATCTTTGTCTTCTTGATAATGAGCCTCAATCCATATTGAAGGCTGCAGTCCTTTAATATGGATTCAATATGTACCCTCTGCAGCAAGTGCTTCAAGTCCTCCTTAGTTTTAGCAAGCAGGGTTGTGTCATCTGAATAATGCAGATTGTTGATGGATCTTCCACCAATCCTGATGTTACACTTCTCATAGAGCCCAGCCTCCTGGATAATGTGTTCTGCATACAGGTTGAAAAGGTATGGAGATAGATATAGACATAGACATGTTGTTAGGAGAGGCTATTCCTTGGAAAGATGGAGGGTCAGTGAAAGAGACAAAGACTCTCAACAAGAGGAATTGGTACAGTGACTGTGACAGTATGTCGGGATGATAAGGATGGCACACGATAGGACAGGTTTCATGTCTATTGTTTGTAGCATTGCTATGAGTCATTTGCAGCTAGGTCACACCTAACAACAAAAGCAACAATAAATCACATGGAAAGAGGTTGCCCAAATTCCTTGTGCAGAGCTGCTGGCAGATTTGAAATATCATAAAATTAAGAGTAGGATGCCACAAAATATTTGAAGTCTCTTGAGGGTAGAGATCAATTTCATGTGCTTATCTTTGAACAGCTTCTGGCATAGTGATGCCTGCAATTCGATGCTAAATAATAATAATAAATTGGTAAAGATATTGATGAATTACAAAATTACAATAAATTATCAATAAAGATATTGATGACTACAATCCCAGAGTCGCACGGTTCGAATCCACCAGATGCTCTGCCGGGGAAGGAGGGACAATCTCCTCCTGTACCAGTCAGATCTGATTTGACGGTACACACACACAAAAAATAATTTTAAAAAAAATAAAGATATTGATTAATTACAAAGGCAGAAATTTATATTGTAGGGCCTTTAGCTGCACCCTAAACCCAACCAAGTATTTGACCAAAGTCATGCAAAAGACTGGCAGCAAGAGAGCATAACTAAAAATGAAACAAATTTTTCTTCTGAGTTTCTTAAATGGCTTTTCTTATGATCACCATTTGGTGAGCATTGAGCCCTCCTCGTCCCAAGGGAGCTGTGGTGGCCCTAGTGGGTGAGGAGTTTTACTGCCAACCCAAAGGCAGGTGGTATGAATCCACTGGCTCCATGGGAGAGAGATGGACAACCTCCTCCTGTGTGGCTTACAGCCACTGAAAACTCTCTGGAGGGTTGCCTAAGACCCTCCAACTTCACAACAGTAACTTTAATTTTTTTTCTTCTTCGTCTTTTTTTTTAATAGTCTCCAGAGACAGGCCCTAACATTGACTTATTTGAGGCAAAGCCTGGGAAAGGGTGTGCCCCTAAGTCTTACTCTCTCATTGTTCTGAGGACAGATGTCTTACCTCAACATGGCCTCGTTGCAGCTGTATTTTTCCTGTAGTAGTCTTAGGGATGTTTTCATGTCTGACCCAGATTTCTCCTTCCGTCCCTGGCTCCTTTTCTCCCCCCAGGAGATAGGCCGTCTGAACTTGGAAGCCAATGTGACAGCAGATGGATCTTTGGCCCTGGAGAAAGGACTGGCCACGCTGAAGAGTGAGATGAGGGAAGTGGATGGAGAGCTGGCGAGAAAGGAGCTGGAGTTCAACGCAAACATGAACGCTGTGCAGATGGTGAGGTTCTGCTGCTTTCCAGAGGGCGTCTTGTTCATCTGGACAATAGGAGAAGCACTCTTTCAAGGCTGCTTTATATTTATTGTTTTCCTCAGGTGATTACAGAAGCCCAAAGAGTTGACTCCAGAGCCAAGAATGCTGGGTTTACAATCCAAGACACACTCAACACATTGGATGGCATCTTACAACTAATAGGTATATGAAATATCCATAACTTCCCACCCCATGCCCCAAGGCTTTCCCTGAGAAACTTACAACATCTAGCCCTGAAAGAACAGAGTCCTTAGTCCTAAGAATCTTTAGGACACTTGACTTATTTCCAAGTCCAGATCATTGGTGCATGCTTCTCTACACTTTTCTTAACCATCCAGTGCAGCCAGTGTGCTAATTGGAAGCAAAAAGAAAAAAAAAAAGCTTTATCTCACATACTTTGGACTTGTTGCTAGGAGAGGCTATTTTTTTGGAGAAGGATATCATGCTTGGAAAGGTAGAGGGCGAATGAAGGAGAGGAAGACTCTCAACCAATTGGATTAATACAGTGACTTCAGCAATGGGCTCAAGTGTGTCAGAGATTGTGTTAATGACACAGGATAGAACAGGGTTCAGATCTGTGGTTTGTAGGGTCATTATGAGATATACTAAACTTGATAGCACCTAACAACAACAACTGCAATCTGAGTCACTTAATATTTGTTGCCTTTGGTGATGGAAATTGTATGGGTCAAAGAACTTGGTGACTCAGAGAACTTGACAGTTAAGGGAGTGTTGAACAAGGCAAGGGCCCTGCAAAGGAGTCTAGAGTTGCTATTGGGAGACTGGTTGTTGTTGTTATGTGCTGTCGAGTCACCTGTGACTCACAGCAACCCTATGCAAAATAGCTCTGAACCTTGTCCTATCATGAGCCAATCTTGCTGTCTCCACCACACCTGCCCCTATTACCCTAGTAACTGTGGAAAACCAATAGATGTTTTAAATGGAGTAATAGGACCATCATTGCATATTTCCAAAAGATCCGTAGGGAGATTTTGAGTAGAGGAGAGTTTGAAGAAAGATTAGACCGAAGTTTGGGTGGGACCACTTGTCACATTGTTGAAATAATCAAGAAGGTAAGATGATGGGAGCTTGGTCTGAGGTAGGAGAGGTGATAAAGGAGAAGAGTCTTCAGTCTCTGAAGTCAATAATCATTTGCTGATTCTGCTTTTTGTTCTACCTACCAGTTCCCACTGCCATTGGATCAGTTCTGAGCCATGATGACCTCATGCATGTCATGAGTAACAGTGTGCTCCACAGGAATATTTGTGGCTGATTTTGCAGAAATTGATGACCATGCCTTTCTATTAAGGCTCCACTGGGTAGACTCAAACTGCTCACCTTTTGGTTAACCGTTTAATGTGTTAACTCTTTACACAGGTCTGGGACTTCTTGCTCCTTCTCAAATCACTTAGATCTTGATGTAATCAGTGGGGAAAGTTGACCAGTCTATGTAGATAACCCAGAAAAATGTAAACATAGTAAATCCATGAAATGTTTCAAAACAAAATTAAAGAGGGCTTAGTACATAGTATGGCAGGAAATCATATGTTCTTCTAGACCACACAAAAGAAAGTAGATTTGAGTTAGGATTCTAGATTTGGTAGAGCTGGTATGAAACATCAGTTAGCCTGTTTTATCAAGGTTCAACTAGAGTGAATATGGAACCAGAGATTTAGTAACAGCTTCTAACAACATTTAGGGGAAAAGCTCAGTTCAGCTTTTTCAGTTCAATAGAATGTCTTTAAAACCTAATCTTTCTGGGGAGTGCTATGAGACACCTATAATTGTCTACACTGTTAGACTTGTGGATCTGCTTTGGGGTCCAATGAGCCAATGAAGTAAAATAGGATAAACTAATTGCACAGCTAAAATTTTAGCAGTGTATTTTGGTGTTCTGGAAAAGGTGATGAAACTAACCCAGCCTTTAAAGAGAAAATGAGAGTAGAGGGAGAGGATCATCCCATCTTTCATTGTTGTCAAGTCAGAATTGACTCGTAGCTGATCCTCCAGTGGGCTTTCAGAAGCTGTAAATTCCATGGGGAAAGATTGCTGATATTTCTCCTGATGAAATGCTGGCAGATTTGAAACGCTTGACTTTGGGTTGGAAGTACAACTCCTTAACCACTAGGTAACCAGAGTTCCCTTAAGGAAAAGAGAAGAGAGTAGGCTGGAACTATGAAGTGCTTCCTATGTGTCCATGGAAGCTAATACCAACCACCTCTGTCAGATTCTATGCTAGGTATTTTCATGGTATGAATGAGTATCTCTTAACTCTTATAAAAATCCTATGTATTTGTAGAGGTGTTTATTAGGTGCTGTTGAGTCAAGTATGATTGATAGCAACCCTATGTATGAATAATGGATCTGAAGTTTGATCTATCCTGTGCCATCCTCATCATCTCAGCCATACTTGAGCTCTTTGCTGCAGTCACTGTATCAATCTATCCCATTAAGATAGATTGATGTCTTCCTCTTTTTCACTGACCTACCTTTCCAAGTATGGTGTCCATTTCCAAGGAATAGCCTCTACTAACAATATACCTAGAGTATGTGAGATGAATTTTTGTCATCATTACTTCTGAGAAGCTCTCTGGCTGCATTTTCTCCAAGACATATTTGTTTGTTCTTTTGGCAGTCCATTCAGTACCCTTCTCCTGTACCACAACTCAAAGACATCATTTCTTCTTCTGTCATCCATATTCATTATCCAATTTTCATATGAATAGCATGCATGTGATTGGGAAGACCATGATTTAAATCAGGTGCACTTTAGTCTTTAAATTTACATTATTGCTCCTTAGTACTTTGGAGCAGTCTTTGACAACAGACTTTTCCAGTGCAATATAACTTTTGATTTCTTGCCTGATTGTACCAAAGGTGTTTATTAGGTATCCAAACAAAAGAATTCATTGACAATTTCAATCTTTTCTCCATTTTTCATGATGTTGCCTATTTAGCCCAGTGGTGAGGATTTTTATTTTCTTGATACTGAGATGTAGTCTGTATTTAAGGCTGTAGTCTTTTATATTCTGCAGCAAGCATTTCCAGCTCTCTTTGCTTTCAGCAAGCAAGGTTGTGTCATCTATTATTTTATTTTACTGAGATGTAAACAGAGGCTGAGAAAAGAGGCTTGGTAGCCTGACTGCTAACTGAATAGTTCAAACCTACCAGCCATTCCAAAGGAGAGAGATGTAGCTGTTTGCTTCCGTAAGATTACAGCCTTGGAAAATCTATTCTGTGCTGACCTATGCAGTCACTTTGAGTTGGCTTCACAGAAAGGGGATTCCATTGAAGCTCGGATATTAATAGTGTACCAGAGGTCACATCGTAAATTGTGGATGTAGGATTTGAACTGAGTTCTCTTTGTCTTAAATTTTTGTGCTCTTTTCTAGCAGCTTGTACTCCTTCTCCATGGACATGCATATTTTGTTCTGAGGCATATTTTTTCCGATTGTCAAAGCCTGAGCGCCTCTCTGTCAGTTCAAATCCTCCAGCAGCTCCTTGGGAGAATGATAAATTAGCTCCTCTTGTGAAATTTACAGTCATGGAAAGCCAACGAAGGGTCAGCAATGATTCAGTTCTAATTCCGTGATTGAGTCTTTTTTTTTTTTTTATGACTGAGTCTTTACACGGCATAGAATTTGTGTAAATTCTTGAATGATCTCCATTTCAGGTGAAGAAAAGATCCATTAGCTCCATATTTTTGTTACGATGCTAACTTTCCTGCTTACTCTATTGAGTCTATGAAAAAGAACATATACATCATTATACGGATAGTGAGCTCAATGCAGCCAGATAAATACCCTTCCTGCAGCTCAGATGTGTGGGGCAATCTGGCCTTGGGTTTGAATTGCCTGAAGATCACTCAGGCGCATTTGAATCAGATAGGTCTGGTCAGTTTTCCTTTGTGTTCACTTGAGTTATAGTTTATGGATGAAACATACCTGAACAAATAACACTAAGCTTCATATTGGAAATAAACGAATATCTAGTCAGATTCCCACCAATTCAGGCCAGAATGAAGTCTTACATCATTTCCTAACAGCTGGAATCTATCCCCTAATAGCAAAGCATACCTTGGCCTTTATACATCCTGAAACCCAGCCAGTTTCTAAAGGTCTTCTAGTAGAAAAACAGCAAAACTATTTCCTAAGGGTGCTTCTGCAAGAATGACTTGGAGTTGACTCAGATTCAAAGGGTGAGCTGTGCTGGGCCGACGTCTTGGACCATGCTCAGTCCTCTTTGACCATTGACATTCATCTATTTGAAGCTTTAACTTTTGATTCTAACATGGAAAGAGAAGTCTAAGCTTCATACTTTTGAACAATAGGACTTAGAGGGCTGTTCATAACCCCAAGTGGCCTATCAGAATTTTCCCTAGATTATTTCTAAACACAAAATCGACCTTTTAAATGCACGATATACCTTTTGCTCTGAGCACTTGGAACTAAGAATTAGTTAACGGGACAGAAAGAATCACTTTCTGTTCGTGAAGGTTCTCTATTAAGGCTGACTATGGTCTAATCAGTTTCTCTATGTTGGTGCTTTCCCACTCCCTGAAATAGATCAGCCTGGAGGCATGGATGAAGAGGGACTGATCTTATTGGAGCAGAAACTTTTCCGAGCCAAGGGCCAGATCAACAACAAACTGCGGCCCTTAGTGTCAGAACTGGAAGAGAGGGTGCATCGGCAGCAGAGCCATTTCCGCTCCCTGGAGACAAGCATAGATGGGATCCTGCACGATGTGGAAAACCTGGAGAACATCAGAAATAACCTGCCCCCAGGCTGCTACAACACCCAGGATCTTGAGCAACACTGAAGCTGCCTTAAAGATTTCTCAACTTTTGTTCTTGGGACACAGGCTCCTGAGTTAAGGAGCCAGCTCATGTGGGTGGGGTGGGATGGGGACATTTGAACATGTTGAATGGGCGTGTTTAGGTCAGCTGAACTTGACCCCATCCCTGAAACTCTGGCCAGATGGCTATCTTATTGCACCAGTGCAATACTATTTGCTTTCTGATGCTAAGGAATGAAGCAAATAGCATTGAGTGTGAAATTGATTAAGGACCTTGGACTCCAAAGAATAGACTGGATGGAAGGACAAACTCAACAGGCAAATGATTGCTTCAGAAAAGCCATAAACTGTGAGTCCAGGAGCGTGGACCAAGCT